TTTGCCAGTACTACATTAAAGGCTTCTTGAGTTTTAGGAACTGATGGAGCTTGTGGATGGTTACCCACTGGATCATGCTAGAATTTCGGATAATGCACAGAAGTTATTGCTGCTGCTAATAATGAATGTGTCTCTTATGAACCTAAATGTATGGCTGATGGAACAGCATGTATTGCTAAATCAACTTGTGGTAGCTACAAGACATAAACAGCATGTAGTAGCAATTGAAAAGATGGTATTTGTTATTGGAATGCCACAGCTTATACTTGAAATTGAAGGATTGCAGTGATGAGCAAAAGGGCAACTTATATTTGTCACAAGAGTATCATGCACAACTGATGGAACCAAATATATTCCATTATCACCATTAAAAGCTATTTTCAAGCTATGTTCAAGCTGGATGTTTCAATCAAGCTGATGGAGAATACATATTTGCATTACCAGTTGGAGCTACTAAAGGAACTAAAACATGCAGATTAAAATAATGTGAAGATATTAATGGTGGAACATCAAATGCTAACTGTATGGGATTAATCACTAAAAAATAATGTGTGTCTAATGGAAAAAATTTTATAGTCAATGCTGCTTGATCCTCTTATAAGTATATTACTTCGTGTAATGGAGGTGGCTTTGAAAATAATAAATCTATTTTTTTTGCTTTCACTCCAACCAGAACTGACAAGGTTAATGTAACTTGTAAGACACTTACCACATATGCTGATGTCAACAATGATAAACTTGCTTGTACGACTTATCCATATTGCGAATGTTCTGAAAACTCAATTGGAACATCTTGTGCTAATTATACATGTGTTACTTTCGCCATGGGAACTAGTTGTAGACCAATTCCACGCTTGAATGAAAATTCCTCTACTGTTGCGTTCTATAAAGTGGAAAATGTGGTGCTGCTAATCCTTGAACCATGACAGATTCCAAGATTTGCTTCACTAAATCTGCTTATAAATATAGTTGGAATGTTGCTATTCATAACTCTGAAAGTTGTATTTCAGGATCTGTCAATTCTAATAATTCAAATGGAATAAATAATTAAACAGATAATGGGACATCAACTAACGACAGTGCCTCATCTTCTCAGCTATTTCTTTGGGAATTTTTGGATAATGCGATGATAATGATAATTAGATTATATTGGGAAAATATTAATATTTCAAATTATTTTATCTTATTAATAGAGGTATTTTTAGTGGATATTAAATTCTTAAAATTAATACTTTTTTTATTCAGATTTAATGTAGTTATATGTTATGTTCTCTTAAAACTTCTATGAAAGTATTTAAAGTGTTATTAATAATTAAACTTTTCTTCATTCCTCAGATTAATTAATTATTCTTTAAATATAATAGCTCTCTATATATTATTTTGTAAGCTCTAAGAACTTAAAGATGATTATGAATATTTAAGAGGATAAAAGGTAGAATTCTATGTCATAAACTTGCTAAATTCATTTTAAATTACTAAAGCATATTCCATAAACTTCTCATAAAATCCAAGGCAGCCAGTATATGATAATTTTAGGCCTAATCCGTTAAATTGAAGAATTAATAGATTTATGTATCGTCACATTAGTAAATATAAATGCTTGAAGATAATAAAATTGAATATGCGATGACGAATAATAAATTAAATAAATTAAAAATTTGAATAGTTAAAATTATTTTAGAATCTGATTAATCTATTTTTTAACTACCTGTAATGGTAGATCCTGTATTTTTAATTAACTTTATAAACAACAATTATTAAAATTATAATTGAAAAATTGTATATTAGTGAATAAATTTTTTTAATACAAGAAAATATTCACATACATTTACTTGTGCCTAATGATTAATATCATAAATTTCATATTCTTAATATATTTAGTTACTTTTAATATTTATCATAATAATCTCATTGTTATAGAGAAATAAAAATTTATTATTGCAAGATTATTCATTATATAAATTTATAAAACAAAACCAATCTTGGTAAGTATTTTATATAAATTTAGAGTAATTTCTTAATAAAAGGTTATGAAAATATATAGAGTAGAGTAATTTAAAAAAAAATCCAATCTCAATATTTAAACTTTGTTATAGTTTAGATTATTGTTGCAGTCATCTTAATTTTGAAGAATTTTAGTTAAGTTGAAATGTCAGTTCAATAAAAAAATTAAGAAATTCAAAAAGAGTAGGCATATCTCAAATGTCCTTAAGATGTGATGAATAAAACAATAAGAGATTCTATGAAATATAATTACTTTTTTATGATAGAAAGAGGGAGAAAAACAGTTCTACAAGTATCAAATAGGTGTTCAGAAACAGTTTTAAGGCAGAAATATCATCGAGTTCTATTTTGATATATTTTAGAAATGAAATTATCAAAATAATAGCTTAATTATTAAAATAATATGTGAAATTTAAATAATAATTAATTTTCATTAATATTTATTGAATTGCCCAGTCTTTAATTAAACTCAAAATCAATCCGAGAAATGATAAGGATTACTAAAAACTCAAAAGTATTGATAATGAAGTTATTTAAAATCATTTAGTTTTACATAGGATACGGCTACATATGTAATTTAGTTTTATAATTCAAATAAATAAATCATTTTCTTCTCTCTATCATATTNATAAAAGGTAGAATTCTATGTCATAAACTTGCTAAATTCATTTTAAATTACTAAAGCATATTCCATAAACTTCTCATAAAATCCAAGGCAGCCAGTATATGATAATTTTAGGCCTAATCCGTTAAATTGAAGAATTAATAGATTTATGTATCGTCACATTAGTAAATATAAATGCTTGAAGATAATAAAATTGAATATGCGATGACGAATAATAAATTAAATAAATTAAAAATTTGAATAGTTAAAATTATTTTAGAATCTGATTAATCTATTTTTTAACTACCTGTAATGGTAGATCCTGTATTTTTAATTAACTTTATAAACAACAATTATTAAAATTATAATTGAAAAATTGTATATTAGTGAATAAATTTTTTTAATACAAGAAAATATTCACATACATTTACTTGTGCCTAATGATTAATATCATAAATTTCATATTCTTAATATATTTAGTTACTTTTAATATTTATCATAATAATCTCATTGTTATAGAGAAATAAAAATTTATTATTGCAAGATTATTCATTATATAAATTTATAAAACAAAACCAATCTTGGTAAGTATTTTATATAAATTTAGAGTAATTTCTTAATAAAAGGTTATGAAAATATATAGAGTAGAGTAATTTAAAAAAAAATCCAATCTCAATATTTAAACTTTGTTATAGTTTAGATTATTGTTGCAGTCATCTTAATTTTGAAGAATTTTAGTTAAGTTGAAATGTCAGTTCAATAAAAAAATTAAGAAATTCAAAAAGAGTAGGCATATCTCAAATGTCCTTAAGATGTGATGAATAAAACAATAAGAGATTCTATGAAATATAATTACTTTTTTATGATAGAAAGAGGGAGAAAAACAGTTCTACAAGTATCAAATAGGTGTTCAGAAACAGTTTTAAGGCAGAAATATCATCGAGTTCTATTTTGATATATTTTAGAAATGAAATTATCAAAATAATAGCTTAATTATTAAAATAATATGTGAAATTTAAATAATAATTAATTTTCATTAATATTTATTGAATTGCCCAGTCTTTAATTAAACTCAAAATCAATCCGAGAAATGATAAGGATTACTAAAAACTCAAAAGTATTGATAATGAAGTTATTTAAAATCATTTAGTTTTACATAGGATACGGCTACATATGTAATTTAGTTTTATAATTCAAATAAATAAATCATTTTCTTCTCTCTATCATATTATGCTTAGACATAAATTAATAAGAAAGAGTAATTCAGAGGTATATCAATCATTTAAAAAATAAACTAAATATAATTGAGAGCAATAAAATATTGCAGTAATAAATATATATAGACGTTTAAGGATTTCTATCAATTATATAAAATTTTATAATCCAATGCTTGTATAAATTTTTAAAAAGGAATTTTAATGTAATATTTGGAAATAATTATGATCATTAATACATTCTTCATAATAATTATTAACATTTTTGAATTTAATAATATTGCCTAATCTAAATATTAAAATTTTGGTTAATTAATAAGATTTGATACCATTCTATATTAGGAATTCTATTTCCCCTGGATTATATTATGTTCCTTGTTCTAAGAAATTGATTGCTTCATCTTATCTTCTTATATCTTTTAAGTACTTAGCTAAATTTTAGATTTTAAATTGAACCTTTGATACTATAAAATATTGGATCCCTTGAATTAGTTTGGAAGCCTTAATCTAATACATTTAGAGCTTCATCTAGTTTTCCTTATTAGTTTATAAATTTAGCTTAAGATCATAGTCTAACCCATTAGTTCATCAAAAATTCTTTCTAAAATATTTATGGAATTTGAATATCATCCAAATAAATAGTAGATTAGAATTAGCACCTTAAGAATATGCTCACAAATATAAAAAATTAAGATTTTAGACCCTTATTTATTTTTAAGCCCTTGTTATAAATTCTTATGATCTAAAGTTCATTTACACAACAAGAGATATTTTATTATCCATATAAAATTCTTGAAAAACTTCAATAGCAAATTAGTTAAACTAAAATTCATACATTGGTTAATGTTCTTTATTATTGATATCATCTCAATATTTGATAATGTAGTAAAAGAAATTTATACAAGATACTCTTTTATATTTCCATCACAAACATCAAAAAATATTTTATTTTCTCAGATAATACAAATCAAGCAAAGCAAAGAATAACAGATATAAAATAAGAATAACTTTAGACACTTTAACCTATTTACTGATGCTTTGAAAATAATATCCTATTAGTTTGAGGAATAAAATTCGAACAATTTTAAGTAAATTAAATAAGTAAGATAATATATCACAAAACTAAAAATTTAAATACTCTTAAGATAAGCCTTATATTTTACAAAATATGATGAAAAAAGTATCATGTGTTCTTAAATGCATAAATCTACTTTAAATTAAAAAGATAATCTAAATAATTAAAAGTAAAGATTTTTACTTATATTTAAGTTTTGGATAAAAGGGGGTTAAGTAGATTGTGTATAGCATGTAAAATTAGAAAGCTAAAAATCTTAAATAGTTTTATGGAGCCAAAGGTATTTTTTGGTAAAATAAATTCAAAATTACATTTAAGACTAAACGTTAAAAATCAAAGAAGAGAAGACATAATCCGATTATTTTCCCATATGCAAATTAATTGATTTCCTATAATAATCAATCTATTAATGAGAAAAAGTTATCACTTAGATAAATAAATATGACTTTAAATTATAAATATAAACTATTTGGTACCATTAAATCAAGAGAGATTAATATTAAGAAAAAATGAAGAAAGAAACAAGGGAGCAAAAAGTGAATAGATGCTAGAAATTATATCCGGGAGAAAAATTAAAAAAGGATTACTTGAATAAGCATAATATGAATCATGCTTTTAAAGTTTCTGATTCTTAAATGCTTAATTAATTCCTTAAAAAAGATTGAATTCTATAGCAAGATTTGAAGTGAGAAATGAATGAGTAAGCACTTCGCATCTAATGATTGACTTGGAAAATTACTATTTGAATTACAATAATTTTATGCTCTTTCATTTTTCCAAGCTCATTATAGGTTTAAACTCGCTTGAACTTACAAAGTTTTAAATGATCTCAATTAAAATAATAAATTCACTATATTTATCATTATATTTTTTTTTTAATTCAGTTTTTTTTCATTTCATTCTATTCTCATAAAAGCCTCTTTAAATAGTCCTTCATTATTCTCACTCCTTACTATCACATTATCTCAAAAAATTTTTCTCTTAAATAAAAGCCCATAAATTAGAATACTAATTCTTATTAAAAATAAAAACTGATTCAGATAAAAATGAATTGAGGAATCTTCATTAGTTATCAAGAGCCGCAATAGCTTCCATATGCTCCATTCATATATAGATATAATTTAAAGAATATGGCAAAATTGTCTATATTTCTTACTACAAAAATTTGGACAATTTTTGAATAAATTAATTCTCTTCATTTTATTCTGCCACTATGGTAAGAAGAAACATAAATTGTTATTCCGAACCCACCATAAAGGCATTTTTCAACTTTATGCTGTCAGCACTTCCTTTAATTGTCTAATATTACTTATATTATTCATTCTACCTTACTTGTTTCTCTATTTATTAGTCATTCTGCCTATTTAAATCATTTATTTCTCGCTTATATGTGAATTAAACTTTCCTTTATCTAGTTTACAGATCCTAACCATCTAAACCATCTGGTTAATCAGGTTCTCTCTTTTTACTCATCACTATCCAATTCTAATAATTTTTTTATCTAAAATAGCATAAAGCTGGCTAATGCTTTTTTTAATCTAATAGCAATCCTTGAGGATCTTTAGTTCTTGAGTTTAGGTAAAACTCTTGATAATTTTCTAAGATGATAATTTCACCTTTAGGTATAATTTAACTTTTTTATCCTGATATATTGACCACTTCAACCATGGCGTCTTTTATGGAGATCTTTTTAATATGAAAATATTTAAAAATAATTACTAAATTCCTTTAATAAGTGACTGTAGCAATTTTATTTTAATGTTTTATTATTAATCTATATCACAAAAGTCCAGAAACAATATCAAAATTAAAATAAAATTTTTCCTTACTCATTATCCAGAATTTAGTTAGTCTATCTTAAAGGCCTATTCTAGTATTTTATTCATATTTTACAATCTAGGTGATTTCTCTAACTTTGAATGATCTAAAAATTTTACCTTTTATTAAAACCATTATGCTTGCATCAGTAAAGAACTTCTGTTTTTAAAGAATGGTAGAATTAATACATGCCATAAAGATGACTTATTAACTAGACTTTTTGTCTTTAATTTCTTAATAATTCTCTCTAACAAACCCAAATTTCTTTTTTCCATACAGCTTACATAATCAGTTTCTATCTCCTATAACATTTCCTTAATTCAGGTCAATTTTATAAATTTAATTTTGTGGCTTAAATCAATATTTGATTTTTCCTATTCATAATATTCTAGGTGCTTTCTTATTTAGCAAAATTAATCTGAGAAAAAATGTTGTACTAAAATAATTCTAAGTTAATTAACAATTCCTCCTCATTCCTTCATTATCATTTAACATGAGTTAAGTTTTTGAAATAATATTAGATAAAATTAGTATTGTACAACTTCCTCATCTTTTCTTATATTCAACCCTGAGTGCTCTGAATTATTTATTCAGGATTTCAAAAATTTAACAATCCAATTTCATTCTTCTTTCCCAGATCGTACTAATTTGTTTATTTGAAATTTTTGCTTAATTCTTATTTCTATTTAAGTGTTATGTTAGATAATTTTCTTATACTATTTTGTTAAAGATCTCATTCCTTAATAAAGATTTTTATTTAAATTCCTCATTCCCTAGAGATAATTAAATAAACATCCTTTAAAAATTCATTTCATCCTTAAGGAACTATTGCAATTCACTATTCATATTCTTCTTTTAAATTATATTTCCCTATCATATCAATTTGAACTATTTATCTCTTATTATTCCTTGATATATTATAGATAAGGCATCTGTACACTTTTGATGAAATTTTTGTTTAAAATAGATTATGATTTCGTTTGTTCCTTTAGACTCTGGCTAGATATCCACAACCTTTATTTCTTTATATAGTAAAAGATGTTGAAAAAATATGTAGATAATGGGTCTAATTCAGGTTAATTTACTTCATTGGAGAATTTTTAGATTTTTATTTCTCAAATTTATAAATTTCACATATAATTTGATATTGAATGATTAAATTCCAATGTTACTGAATTTAATCTAATTAATTAATAATATTCCTAATCTAACTTCTTGGTTAAATGACTAACTTAGACAGGTGTAGATAGGCAAATTTACTTTTACAAATATTGTACTTTATTGTAAAATATGAGTATGACTCATACCATTAATAAATTCCTTTCTCTAAAATTATGATTTCCAAATGATTATTTTAAATAGTTAATAGGTTTAAGGACATCCTTGATTAATCTAATATTAGTGTGTGTAGGTTCCTCTAAATCAGAAGAAGTAAACACAAACCTTATATTTTTTCCACCAAAAATTTATAATGAACTATTCATATTCAATACCTGTATAATATGGCAAAAGAAATTAATTAGAATTGATTTGCGCATCAATAATCATAATTGTCTTTATCAACTTATTTGACTTGAAACATTTCGAAATGGATATCAAATTTAGTTTACTCCTTGTTATTAAAAAGTATTAATAATCAAGTGTTTTTATGGCTTGATTATTGCAAGAAAGATGGTGTCGGTTGATCATTAAATGAATTATTTTTTTTAATAGTATAAATATTTTATCTAGGTCTAAGAAATTCCTGATTTATTTATGCTTTGTATCATTGTAACTATATACACGTATTATATATCAGAATTATACTTATTAAAAATTTAATTAATGTTATGATGCATAGTATAATCATGGATTTTATAAGGTATTAGTTTTGCCAGGTAAAGAGTCTTTGCATAAAAATTATACTCTTATAATGAAATTCTTATATAAAATTTATTTTTAGTCTGTTCAACTAATTAAATATTAAAATAAATCAGTTTAGATGTTCAGTGGTCTAATTTTTAAAGTTTATTATAGACAATAAGACAGCTAAGAATGAATATATTTTCATCTCTCTTGAATTTACAACAACTCATATTAAATTTTTATTAATAAATAAACTTAAAATCAGACGCTTAATTATACTGAACACTTTAAAAATTCAGCATCATTAAAGCTAAATTTATTTTGATCTAGTATTATTTTTTTAATTTTATTTCATTATTGACTGAGACAATCAAGGATGAGTAATAGAATTCATATTAATTTACCTTACTTCATTTCTTATTCTGGCTCTATGTAAATTTTACATCATCTTATGTTTCAGCCAACCTAAATCATTTTTTATCAATTATTCATCAGTTTACAGCTTTTTCAATACTAAATATTTCCAGGAAATACTAAAAAGAAAAGAAATTAATTTCTTATTATCTCCTAATTATATAGGGTTATGTTAATTATAATAAATGAAAATCATAAGAAGTATTTGTGCCATTAATTTATTAGTTTTGGATAAGATAAATTGCTTAGCCTCTATTAAAATTACTTTTCATTGATATATTATAAGAGTGGTATATTAGTTTATGAAAAGATAAAAAATATTTTTTCATCAAAGTGATTGTTTTTTTCGATAGATTGAAATTCATACAACATAAAAAAATTATTTCCTATATAAGTTAAATTTAGTAAAACTTGAATATTGT